AGCCAAGAATGGATCGACGAATTTAATAGATTAACTTTTAATTTTCAAGACGATCCTTCTGCTTCAAATTAAATTTTATTATTATAATTTGTAAATATTTATTTACTTTGTAATTTCTAATTTGTATAGTGTTATTGTAATCTTGTATAGACTTTGTAAGTTCGTCAAATTTGTAATTCGTCCCACAATGATTGCACTCTTTTTTCGTTACCAAGTTTTTATCCCAATTGGATTTTTCTTGGTAAGGTTTTTAATGAGACAATCATGAATTACAAATTTAAAAATAAGAAATAATTTTTTTATATAGTTCGTGTGTTCATTTCAAATTTTAAATTGTAATATATATATATAATATATATATACACATTATAATTATACAAATACAATATAGAAATAAGTTTGAAAATTCGGGCAGCCGGTCGGGCATTGGGCAGCCCGACCGAGCACGGGCATCCACCTCCTGCCCAAAGCTCGTCCAAGGTGAAATTTAGGTCGGGTCGGACAGCCTGAATTTTTTGGCAGTTCGGGTTCGGTAATCGGGCAAAAATTCAGACTTTTCGGTGGTCGTAGGCGGCATGTCCAAAGTTTCAGCACCAGACAAAAACCAATGCAAAGAAGAGAAATAGGAAAGACCATTTTCTATCCCGTTTTTAATTAATTTATGCACCAAACGTGTTTTGCAGATCACTTTCATTTTTAGTGCCTCGAAAAACAGAAAAAACGTTTTAAAAACAGTTCTAAACGTGTCCTTTATTTCTTTATTTATTATTTTTTTCATCTTTTCTCCGTTTTCTATATTTTTTCTTTCTATTCCCGTCTTTTTTCATGGGTTTTTTTTTTTTTTTTTTTTGAAATGTTAAAAATCTGGTCATGAATACTTTTTTAAAACGTTATTTGCCCCTCTTTTCTGTTTGATTATTGCTTACGGATTTCAATCGCTTTTAGAATATGATGAGTCTTTTTGTATGTTATGACACTAAGCAAAAGTGAAAAAAAAAAAAATCAAGAATAGAGAACGTACTTTTCTGACAATAGAAAAGAAGTAAGATTTTTTAATTGTGAAATTCAGATCACGTTTTCTTTATTTATAATTAAATGGCAACCTTTAATTGCTACCCAATCACAAAAGTCGTATCCTTTATGCAATTTAAAATACGAAATCATACTATTTCAGATCACGTTTTCTTTATTAATGACCGGACGAAACTAAGAAATAACCCCTCATGTGTAAAATTATAAAAGATCATTTTTAAGATCAAATAATTTTATCGAATTAAGTATAAATGTATGTGTGATAGCATTTATTACACCAAAAATATTAATAAACTGGATTATTAAAATTGCTCTGAATACTTTTTTTTAGCTTCCAGAACCTATTTATTAGCTCAAGATCCGTGTTACTAATTAGAATTAAAAAATTAATAAATATGTTCTGTCCGGAATGAGAATGAGCTAAAGTTATGAACTTATAATCAATAATCTGATGAACTTATAATCGATAATCTGATTATCAAGTTTATTCCATGATTATAAGTTCATTTCATAAATTAAAATTATATTTGAATTTAAATATTAATTGAAATAATATTATGTTAAGCAATATTTTCTTTCCATGCATGCAAGCGACAAGAAACTCTTTTATTGTCACTTCATCAACGAGTTTCTTGTCGCTTCATCAACCCACCCGCATGGCTTATAAGGTGCTACTCTACTTTATATTTTATAAGTTATTAATGTGAGACTTTGATTGTCAAGCTACAAGCCTTCTTATAACTCTGAACAATTCCAACACTTGGTAAAGGATCTAATCTACTCATTAAAACGTATTTGTTAAAACACATGGTAAATGGTATTTTTAAAGTTTTTGTAAAGTTTTTCTACACTTCAATTTTGTATCGGGAGAAAATTAAAAGAAAATGCCACTTAAACTAACTAACAAACATTTATACCATTAAAGTGATATAGTAAAAAACATATATTTTATTAAATTAATAAAACCAATTTTAAATTACACAAACTTATATTTTTAATTAAAAAACAATTTTAAATGACAAACTTATATTTTGAATGGCATAAATGTAAAGATAGTAAAAAAATTGTGATTTTCACTTTTCTTGATTCTTTTATTTTCAACTTACACCCAAAATTCTATCATTAGCATGTATGTGACTTTAATATCCGGGCATAAATTAGAAGCTAGAATTTTTTTTTCTCTTCAAAATTTCTGAGTGTTTGTTTTTCGTTTTGTATAATTTTTATGCTATCATTAGCGATGATATAAATGAACTTGATAGCAGCTAAATAGTGAATACGTGTGAATTTGTAATCCGTTAGTAAATAATATATCATGCTTTGCCGGGTTCCCATCATTCTGAGAAGTAAAATTCAATCCGATGCAAATCTACGGTTCTCTATTTTCCAAACGGTTCAATTAAAAGGCAACTCACTGATCCTCAATTAATCTCATAAGTGAAGCCCGTACGAAAGGAAAATCACACCAGAAGGAAGTAAAAATTCTAATGGAACAAAGGTAAATATAGATAACTTTCTTTATTAACCTTATGACGACAATCGCCATAGAAACTGCGACGAAGTGAAAACAAAATTGCATAAAGAGCAATGCAAGAAAGGCATCCAAACACGGCACTGAAACAGGAAAATGACACTAAACCATTATGTAGATAATCTCCTCCCAAAAATGTCTTATGAATTCAAACAGTTTCCATTGTTGTCTGTCTTGTCAGAAACTTGAACCAGAAAGTTGAACAAGAAAAATTCAAATCCGAATTCACTTCTCGGACTCTGGCTTCTCGAAAAAGGTCTTCTTCAACCAATCAAATGGCTGCAAATCACTCACCACAAATACAGAAACATGTAAGACTTTCCCGTAGTAACTCCAATTTAGGCAAAGAAGAACGAATAATAAAGTCGATGATTCAGCAAAAGAGTTTAATGTTGAGACTTAAGATGTAGTGGCAACACTATAAAAAACATTGGAGCTTATAAAACTCGTTAGTTATAACCAAAGTAGCTAGCTGAGGTATCTCAAATTTCAATTGTCAAAAATCCTGAGAGAATCCACCCATAAGATGTTCCAAAAGAAAAAGGAAGACGAAAAAAAAAAGAGAGAGAGAAAAGAAAAGAAAATCAAGCATACTGGTTATAGAAAATCAGATCTTATCCCCCTTGTAAGTCTTGCAACAGTAGGGAGTATAAATTGGAAAGGAAGCAAATGGCAACGAAATTTCGTTAGAAGCTCATATTATAACAAATATCCAATTCATAAACTCAACTCCCACTCTAACTCTTGCAAAAGTAGCTGCATTGATCAGGAAAGAACAAAGTAACGGCAATATTTGATCTTTCATTCACATTGTTTCATAAACTTGTAAAGCTCAAGGTTTACAATTACACCCTGCAACTAAACTCTGACAGAAATGCTTTTCAATGATTGGATTAATGTTAATATTCATTTGGTAATGTTTAATTTCTCTATCAAAATTCAAAAAGTATCAAAAGATTCATAATTCACAGAGAACCAATCAATCATAAAAAATTGTATCAAACGATTCACAAAGAACCAAACAGAAATAAACCTAAAGTTCAACCGATCCTATTTCTTGACGAAAGAATACAATTCACGAATAGAAGATGTAGTTGATAATTCCTTTTCTTTCTTCGCATCTTTACCTTTTATTATACCAATTTGGAATTCATAATACGAAACGGTTCAAGAAAAATCATCTTCTTCAAGCAATGATCACAAAAGAAATTACAATGTTTCTCTCGGCAAAAGAAAATTACCAATCAAAAACACCCCCAATATTCTTCTCGACAAAATAATCAGTGGCAACCAAAAAAAAAAAAATCAATCCTTAATACCAAAAAAAAGTTGATGACGTAAAAAACTCGTCAATCAACATCTCAATAGAGCAAAGGATAGAATCCATTGACAGATCATAAAGAACCCTAATTAATGGAAGAAAAAGATGAAAAAGGAGAAAACCTGGATGAGCCAAAAAGCCGTAGTGGTGGCAGCGACGCCCCACGCGGCAGCGGCTTTGATGTCGTCGGCTTGGGGACGGAGCCTTGGATTCAAGAACTTCAACAATCTAGCTTCTCCTGCCATTTCCGGTCGAGATTCGAGAACAACCAACTTTGCCCTAATAAATTAAACCTACGAATCGATCGATATCAATGAATTATGAAGCCCGAATCTCTGTTTGTTTCCAATTCTCTCTCTCTCTCTGAGTTTGTCAACGTCAAATAAAAGTGCCCTAATTCTGATGCTAGTGATTGCTGGTCAAGGCAAAAGTGTTGACGATCGATTAAACTTGATCGTCGGATCAAAAAGATTAAACTTGAACGTCGGATCATTTATTCGGTGGGACAGAGACTTCTCCCATGTTCTAATATGTCGGATTATTATTTATCGAAACGACATTTCGTTAGTAAACGATAATGAATTGAAACGCCATGTCGTTTGTAATCGGATTGTTTTTTTGTTGAAACGCCATGTCGGATTGTTATTTATTTGTTGTCGTCTGTACGAAAATGACATGTCGGTTTTCATTTAAAGGTCGTTGTCCTGTATGTGTGAGCACATCTTATTTAGGGGTCAACATCCAATCTAATCTAATCTAATACTTATATTGGATTTTGAAATGTCGTATCCAATTTAATCTGATCCTTGTACAAAATTCAATTCAATCTAAATGATATCTAATTTAGTCAGATTCTTGTACAAAATTCAATTCAATTTAAATGAATTTGCTGCTCTGTAAGCCACTAGACCCCATTTGGTTGGGGTAATGGAATGAAATGGAATGGTGAATCTTAAGTCCCGTTTAGTTCTTTAGTTTGAATTTTGTTGATTTAAACAGAAAAATTCAAACTGTGTGGTTTAAATTATAGTTTAAATTGATGTTTAGATGTATAGTTACAGTTTTAATTTGAATATATAATAAAATTTAAATTTGTGTTTGGTAAGTGTGAAAAACAGAGAGAGTGGGCTCCTTTTTATTGTTCAAAAATGGTTTAAACGGTTAAACTTGAAGGGGGAGCTAAATTCTATGTTGGACCGTTCAACTCAGTTCAAATGAAGAATATAATTCAAACTGCATGCTTACCAAACACCAATTTAAACTGTGACCACCGTTCAAATTGAGTTGAACTAAACTAAACCAACAAAATAAACGAGGGCTTAGAAAGAGACCCAAATCTTGTGTTTGGCTGGTTTTTGCCAATGGCATGGCCATTTAAAAAAGGAAAATGCACCATATAACACATTTCATAGCTATGTTTGAAGTAATTAGCATATTTTTTAAATAATAGTAAATTATAACATATTCTCATTTTACTTTTAAAATAGAAAATTTCATTTTCAATTTTACCCTCTAGGGTTTCCTTGTTTCTTTTCCACGTCTCTCATATTCATTTTAACAGTCTCTCTCTACATCTCTCTGACGTTTCTCTCTCTCTAAGATTTTTTTCCTTCCTCAATCTTCACGACAATAACAACATTTTCCTTTCTTTCTCACCGTTACCCAGCTCTCTCTTTCGTCATTATCTCTACTCACGCCGGGAGGAATCTTTGCTAAGATCGGATGCCGTTTGAGATCGGGATCTGCCATTTTCTACGGCCATCTCTGTGAAATCGTGACTTAGAGCTCCACTCCGGCGCACGTTTGAGTTTTGCTCCGGTGACGAGGAAGACTAAATGTTCAGAACTGGAGAAGACAACAAGGTGTGCTTGAGATCTGTTGGTTTTCGAAACATTTTCGAGTGCGAAAGCGTGGTAGTACGGATTGTGTATAACAAAAATTTTCATAGAACTTTTGAATACTCTATAGATTATATTAATTTACACAATAATAAATTAATCATATTAATTTATAAGGATAAATACCTAGCGAACGATTAGGCGGATAACTTGAGGTCTTTGACCATGAACAGTCTACGCTCCAAGCTTTTTCAGAAAACCCGAAGCTTCCTCGTCTAGTCCTTGAAATCAACAAGACCTAGAGTGTGGGCTCTAATATGGAACTATTTGATTTGATCACTCGCTAATTTGTATTCATTCACTATCAACACATGTATGTGAAGAAATTAAGAATTGGAAGAACTTTCTTCTCTTTTTTCTCTCTTAAAATTCAGTCACCTATGAATTTTTAGAGCAAAAATTCTCTACTCCAATTTTCTATTGTCTCCTATTTATAGAACACTAAGAGAACCCATTTGCTTTAACTTGAAGACAAAGCAATAGAAAATCAGTTACTACTATATTTTAATATCATTAAAATACAGTTTCCCATTTAATTTTAGAAACAAATTTCTCCTTTCCTTTTACTACATGGCTGGCCACACCACAAGGAGACCTCCTTGTGGTTGGCTCAAATCTACAACAGGAGAGAGAAAATTCATCATTTATCCAGTTTCTAATTTTAGCTCAAATCAAATCTAAATAGAGTCATACTTCACTTTCCTTTTGAATTTGATTAGAAAACTTGTCAAACAAGTAAACCGGATATCTTGGAGAGCAAACAACTAAATCCCAATGGAATTCTACCTGTGTCACACGCCCCCAGCACCTCCCAGTGCCTGGGCATGTGACCTCATGTGGTCCTACCACAGTGTGTTCTAAAATTAATTTAATTAAATAATCACATTATTTATTTCGAGTAATATTAAATCCCGATAATTCATCCTGTCTTGCAAATATTACAAGGATGATGCAGAGACTCATGAACATATAATTTTGAGCTCTAATAAAATTAATAATTAATTAAACTATTTAATTAATTAATTAAGTCTATTAATTCAAAAAGATACTCCACTAAAAAGTTAGAATTGCACTCTCGAAATTATAGACATAATTTACTTCTAGAACTTGAAGTGTCAATTCGATATAGTTACTACATATAGATCAATCATCCATAAATAATTCATAATTAGAGTTAGGAAAAATCCGTTCACCTCTCTAATTACATATTTATCCTTAAGTACCATTGATTCATAAAACACATTCATGAATACGAGCTCATCACTTATTCAAGTGTCAGATTAACCCTCAAGGGAATTGTTTATCTACTTCTTCAAAGAATAAGGAATGGGTTACATCTCGTATATTAGCATTCCCTGCTATCCATTTCATCATATTTTCAAGATACAAGGAATATGATTTATGATCTCAAAATCCGTACCGAGTAAACTAAAAAACATGAATCCATAAATAGGAGTCTACTAATAACTCAAAATTAAGATAATTCCATATATGACCATCGGTAGACTTAAATTTGATTTTCTATACTTAACGGGTATTATCATAAAATTAAATTGTGTATGTGCCCCAGTTCTACATAATCTCATTATGCATAATACACTCATTCAATATACCTCTATAATAATGACGCAGATAACACCATTCCATTCTTAATGGGAATGACATGTATTAGTAATATTTTAATTAAATATTCTGTAACTTTAATTAAATTCGTTACAAACATTATTTTGATTATTTTCCTTAAATATTATCATCTCGTATATAACACTTATATACAATATTTAAGGTCACATAAATAATCGTGGAGTTTTCAATGATATTCATAATGTACTCAATAATTTATGCACATAAATAATGAATAAACTGTTTTATTAATTATATAATAATATATCATTATTACATATTATGCTTTAAGGACACTATTCCTAACAAGATCTCCATATCCAAAATCGTGCGAGGTATGTCAGTTCTCTCTCTCTCTATCAACTTGCAGCCAAACTGAAAATCGACTCAGTCGTCGTCGATGATTCCGCTTCCCTAAGTCCGTTTTTTCTCTCTTTTCTTTACAAATGTCACGATGTGAATTGTTTTCTCATACTTTAGTTTGTTCTAGTTAATGAAGAACGAAAAATTAGAGAACAAATTTGTTTAGTTTTGCTTGGCCATTGGCTGGTTCTTGATTTCCTTATGGCTGAGAATAATATTATTCACGAATTTATAGTGTGCAATTTCTTCTATTCTGCTTTGTTTACAAGAAGAACTATTGTGTAGAGATAGATTTTATGTTTTGTTTAGAATCTCATATGCACGTGGGAAGATTTGAACGACAAAAAAATTTGCGTAGAGGAATTATTGTGTTTTGTAATATATAATATGAGTTTGTGACTTATTTTATCAGTAATATTGTATTTATTGGTAAATACAGTATTTATCAATTGCCGGAGCCAGTTGCTTGATTTTTGAATAGACATAGTAAATATGATATTTATTAGCAAATATGGTATTTATTGGTAAATACGGTATTTATCAGTCACCGGAGATGGTTAATAGTCGCCAAATTTTCTGATAAATATGGTAAATATGGTATGTACCAACAAATATAGTATTTATTGGTAAATATGGTATTTACCAATCATCGGAGCCAGTTGTCGAATTCTTAGACAAATATGGTAACTATGGTATTTACTTGTAAATACCATATTTATCGGTAAATGTGGTGTTTACTAATCGCTGGAGACAGCAGCTGGATTGTCAGACAAATATGGTATTTATCAGTAAATACAGTATTAAACGATCGTCGGAATAGATTTTCAGATAAATATGATATTTACTAGTAAATACGGTATTTATTGGTAAATATGGTATTTACTGGTAAATACAGTGTTAAATGTTCGCTGGAGTCGATGATCTGATTTTCATATAAAATATGATATTTACAAATAAATACATTATTTATCGGTAAATACAATATTAGACGGTCATCGGAGTCAATGCCTGAATTTTCAGATAAATATGATATTTACTAGTAATTATGGCATTTACTAGTAAATATAGTGTTAAACGGTCTCTGGAGTCGGTGTCAAAATTTTCGGATAAATATGATATTTACTAGTAAATACGGTATTTACCGGTAAATACAGTGTTAAACGATTGTCGGAGTTGGTGCCTGAATTTTCGAATAAATATGATATTTACTAGTAATTACGGTATTTTACTGGTAAATATAGTATTTACTAGTAAATACAATGTTAAACGGTAGCTGGAGTCGGTGCCTGAATTTTTGGATAAATATGATATTTACTAGTAAATATGATATATACTAGTAAATACAATGTTAAACGGTCACCGGAGTCAGTGTCCCAATTTTCAGATAAATATGATATTTACTAGTAAATACGATATTTATTAGTAAATACAGCGCCGGAGTCGGTGGTCGGCTTTTCGAGTAAATATGATATTTATTAGTAAATATGATATTAAATGATAAATACGATATTTACCGGTAAATATAGTGTTAAACGGTAGCCAAAAAACAGTCTCTGGAAAACGGTCACAGGTTGCCGGAGCTTATTGCCGAAGCCGGTCGCCGGTCCCAGCCATAGTGGACTTGACTATAATCTATCTTTTTTAAAAAAATGCTATAATTGACTATTTTTTTTTAAAAAAAAAAAAGATGTTTAAAGGCGATGAGTGAGGTGGAAAAAGAGATTTAAGGGTATTTTTAAATTTTTAATAATGTTTAAATAGATGAACTTGAATTTGCTTTTTTGGTGTTCAAGGCCAGATCACGAATTGGATTTTGCCACAGATTTTACATCTTTTTTACTTGTTAAATTTTTTTCCTCCTATTTTCTTCCCAAAGTTGAAAGGAATGAAAATTGATGAACCCTATGAATTTATAACTTCTTTCCTTCCTCATTTTCTCTCTACCAAACCACTTAAAATTTAATTTTTCCTCTCTAAAATCCTTCCTTCAATTTCTTTCCTCTTCCTTTTCCACTCTACCAAACATAGCGTACGACTTGCCGTTATCCTCTTAAACATTTGTAATCGTTTATTTCAACATGTTTTTCTTCTACATCTATTCAAACCTCTACATCTTATGGAGTCGATGTAGAACTACCGTTAGATAATGCTGTCTTATAATTTATAAACAAACGCCAGCCGTTTAAGAACTGCACCTACTTTTTCGTTTAGAAAATTGCTGTCCTTCAAAGCCAAATAGTAATACGACACATTTTTGCATTTTAAGCATAGACGCAAAATCACGTTCATCAATGAAAATCTCTCATGGTACAAAATGTTTTGTCAAATCCTGCAAAAGAGCAGCACTTCCTGTGAAGCTCCATATTATGATGCTAAAAGAGACTCTGGAGGTACATCAAGCTTCGTTGTTTAAAGATGATTGCTGTAAGACACTAACGGTGCTAAACACCATTCATTAATACAAAATGAGTTCCGCAATATGAGACCTACAAACGGAGCTCATCTTTTATTAGTGATGGTGCTTAGCACTAGTAGTGCCCCTAAGCATTTTCCTTGTTTAAAGCCAGGAAAAAAATCCAACCAACGATACATAAAAGGATAACCAATTAGTCAACTTGAGTAACCAAGAGCGAGAGAGAGGAGCAGTCACGACTGCAGAGAAGAAAATTTTCAACTCTGTCCCTTCACGAAACTCATTTTCAAGACACATCCTCTATAGTGCAGAGCAAAAGGACACGCCTTCTACGGACCCAAATTACTTTTTGTCAACTTTCTAAACTGAACTCGACAGCCGGGTAGAATTCTTGATACATTCCATTTCAGTTGTTGGCCGGCGACCCTTATGTGGACCCCCAATGATACCCCACGTCTCAAATTGTCTTTGTCGGGCTCTTGCCCTCGCCTTCTCTTCTTCAGCTTTTGACGAGTAACAATAAGGACAAGTAACTCCATACTCCCATTCAGGGGACTCCATGTCCTCGTCACTCACTGGTTGCTTGCACCCATAGCAGAGCTTATAATTCCCTTGTACTAAACCATGATCCACAGAAACCCGCTTGTCAAACACAAAGCACTCTCCCTCCCATAGGCTCTCTGTCTTCGGAATATCTTCAAGATACTTCAGAATTCCACCTTCAAGATGATAAACCTGGGAAGTAATAAGGATGTAAAGTAAATGATCAAGTCCAGTAAGAGTCTAACAAGCAATTTTTCTCTCAAGTTTAGAAGACAAAACTGCATTTGTACTTGTGGTGAATTCTCTCAGAAATGGTTCCCGCAACGCCTAACGTGTTTGGTCTAGTTAGTAGTAGTTCAGGTCTGTTTGTATTTTAATAAACTAATATATATTCCAAGTCAACATTTAAAAGAAAAGACAACAAAAGAGATTCCATCATTGAATGAATAAGATCTGGAACTCATGGAAGAAATTATTTGTAACTAGTCTACACTCTCCTAGAAGGTAATGACCAAGATTATCTGAAATAGTGGAATGATATAAAACTCAAATCCTTACCTCTTTGAAACCCTTATTGAGGAGAAAACTTGAAGCTTTCTCACATCGAATTCCTCCAGTGCAGTACATGGCAACCCGCCGAGGCATTTTCTTTTTAGGGCTCCCCACTTTATCAATGGTTATGTCATTTGAACTGTTGTTCTCAAGCTCTTCTGAATGCTCCTTTTCTGGATCAGAAAGTTGAAACTGATCCTCTACCCAAGATGGGAACTCCCGAAATGCTGTTGTGCATGGATCAACTGCTCCCTTGAACTTACCGATTCTAGTTTCATAGTCGTTCCGCACATCAATCACAACCTAAATATGCAGATGAGTTGGAATGAGAAGGGCACCTTTAAATCATTTTAAGTAAAAAATTAAGGGGATGTTTCATAATGTGCATGTAAGGTACACGTATATTGATAGGATCCCGCCTAGACCTCCCATCAAGTTTGCCTATTCTAGAAGGGGTAAAAAAGGCATAGCAGGTGTGGAGATCAAGACAAGGGAGGGCAGCGCTGAGGTGGCAAATTCTGTTAGGGAAATCGGTTAGAGTAGCTAGCTAGGAGGAGAATATGGGGGAGGGGGAAGGAAAGAGGGGGTGTGGAATTTGTCAGAACACAGGGTCAGATTGGGGAGGTAGAGGGTCCTTGAAATCTCTCATTCTTTTTTTCTTTTCTGCCTTTCGTTTAGCCTCTTCCTGAGTTAGAAGGAGAGTCTTGCTGTTAGGGTTGCTTGAGAGTGTTTTCTTCAATAAAAGGAGTCAAAACCCCTTTTTCTGGTTAATTCAGTCCATTATTCCTTGCATTAAGTTCCTGTTTTATGAAGTTGTTTCAAGTTCCTATCAGCTTGGTATTAGAGCGGACGATCCATGGCGAGCCGTCCGGTTGAACCTCAGCCGGAGAATCGTGAGGACGCCGTGGAGCAGCGCTTGGAGCACCTCAACGAGACGGTGCACCTCATGGGCGCGATGGTCGATCCGGTACCGAGGTTGCAGGAGGATATGACGATCCTCACGGATCGGGTGGGCCGAGTTCAGGACGCGGTCCATTGCATAGAGGCGCTCTTAGGACAACACTTCGGGGGGGAGCGTGGCCCTGAACCTCGTGGAGCAGTAAGAGAGAGAGAGCGTGGGCGTGAGTTTCGGCCGGAGTCGCCGGTAAGACGGAGGAGAGGGGAACACCGGGGAAAGAAGCTTGAGCTCCCGATTTTCCATGGTGAGGACTATTATGGATGGTTGTTCAGGGCTGAGAGGTATTTCGCGATCAATGATGTCGAAGAGGAGGAGAAAGTGATGGCAGCGTCCGTTTGCTTAGAAGGGCAGGCTTTAGGGTGGTTCCAATGGGCGGAGACTCAGGAGCCGTTTGTTGGTTGGAGGGATTTTCAGGCCGCCCTTCTGCATCGCTTCAGCCGAGCTCGAGAAGGAAACCCCACCGAGAGGCTGATGTCGTTGAAACAGGGGGGAACGGTTGCAGAGTATAGGGACTCCTTCGAGACGCTGGCGGCAGCTTTGAGAGGAGTGCCGGAGTCCATTTTCAGGGGGGCCTTCCTCAATGGGCTGAGGGAAGACATACGGGCCGAGATGAAATTGCACAGGCCCATAAACCTACAAGAGGTTATGGATTTAACCCAGCAGATAAAAGATAGGAATGAGGCCCAAGACAAGTTCAAGAAATTGAAAATGGGTCGGGGGTGGAAACAGGAGGGATCGAGCCAGGGATATTCATTTACCGACCAGCCCAAGGTTAATGCCTCCCATTCTGAGAGCTTCCTTCAGTCCAGTGCTTCGAGGGATTCTGGAACCTTCACCCGAGCAAAGTCTAAGTGGCGCAAGCATCGGCGGTCAGCCGCGACCCAGGGTTCTGACGTCTCTCAGACGAAGAAATCCATGCACAGAGGGCCAAGGGCCTCTGTTTTCGATGTGATGAGAAGTTTGGGCCGGGGCATCGATGTAAGAACCGACAGTTACAAGTCCTTCTGGTGACCGGAGACAAGTCGAAGACGGAGGACACGAAGGACGAAGAAGCGGAGCAACCAGTGGGGGTGCCAGACGAGGCGGCAGATTTATCCCTCAATTCTCTATTGGGCTTCACCTCCTCCAATACGATGAAGGTCCTGGGGCGGCTGGGTTCACGAGAGGTGATAGTCCTCATTGACAGTGGCGCATCGCATAGTTTTTTGTCAACAAAGGTGGTGGACGAGTTGGCCCTGCCTTGCGACGCTACAAGGAGCTATGGAGTGCAAGTGGGGAATGGAATGAAATTTCAGTAGCAAGGGGTGTGTAAGGGGGTACACTTGTGGGTACAGGGCTTCTGTGTTGTGGAAGATTTTTTTCCCTTCGAGCTTGGAAGCACCGATGTGGTTTTGGGGGTAACTTGGCTTCGGCGTTTGGGTGAGGTCCGAGCAGATTGGTCCAAGTATACTTTGAAGTTCCGTGATAAGGCCGACTGGGTTTGTTGGAAGGAATTGTAAGAGAAACGATAGAGAAGTTTAAGGATTAAATTGCAAGGCTTTAAGGGGCAAGATTGTAAGAATTTTCATATTTAGGGGCCAAATTGCAATATTAAGAAAAGAAGGGAAAAAAAAAGGGCCAGCTGCCCCTTTCACCTTTCACGTGGCAATGTTAGTGTTTCAGCCAAGCCACTAATATCCCCCTCCTCTAGCCACGTTGTGGGGGGGGGGAGTAATATAGGAAGGAAAAAAAAATTCACTCTATCTCATTCTCTCTCTCAACCTCGACACCCTTCACGTTTTTTTTTCTTCACTCTCTCTTCCTCATCCTCTGGCCGACCCTATCCATCACGCCCCCCTCATACCCCCCAAAAAAAAAAAAAAAAAAAAAAAAAAAAAAAAAAAAAAAAAAAAAAAAAAAAAAAAAAAACTTTGATTTTGTTAGAAAACAAAGGGCTTTCTTCAAAATTCCATAGGTAATCCGGTTTTGAGAATGATTGTGTAGAATCTTGAAGTGTTGAAGGTGGTTTCCATGATCAAAGAGGTATGGGACTTTGATTTCTTTTATCCTTGTCTCCAAATCCAGTTTTTAATTTAAACTTTGATCTCTTTGTCTTAATTGTTGCTGAATGAGATTCTAATTCCATAAACAAGTGAAAAGCCACAAAGATTGGTCTTCTAGGGTTCATACAAATTTGGGATTTTGACCAATTTTCTGAGTAATCCGAATTTGCTCTTGTTTCTTGTTTGGTTTTCGTTGTGGTTTGATGCTTTGGTTCAAGATTTGCATGTTGCTCCTCTCTATGTTGGTTATGAAGTTAAAAACATAAACTTAGGTATTCATGATATTTAGGGGCTGCCTGAGGAAAAGAATGAAACTGTATTTCCTTGCTTAGGTTTTGATCTATATAATTTTAAGGTCATAAAAAAGACGTTATAAGCTTCGATTAGAGGCAAGAATCACCTTAAACGGATAACTGTAGCCTAAGTTATGAAATTTTGAAGTTGGATGTAGTTGTTGCAATTCTACAGAAAAATAAGCAATTCATGATCTGGTGTGAAGTTTTTATTTTGTGTAGGCATTAATGGACCTGAAACTAAGTTTATGATAATTCTTTGGAAAGCCCTGGATGTCTACTTCGAGTAGGCACTGATTTTGTAATTTTTAAAGCTACATAGGCTCCGTTCACTTCACCAATTCGAGTTTAAAATTTGAGTTTTGCTACAGTAAAAATTTCTCAGAAACAGTCACATCTAACTTTTTTGCTACAGTAAAAAGCTCACATAAAATCACATCTCAACTCGAATCAGCGAAGTGAACGGACCCATAGAATATTTTGTGAATATTCTCGTAGCAGTCGTAAAACTGTCATTTTAAGAAATTGATAAAACAAAGAACTGAGGTTCCTACTTTTTGAAATGGGAGTGCTGCACTTAAATCACCTTTGTTACTATTTAGAACAAGTTATTAGTGACGTGTGAGAGTTGAAATCACCTCATTTGGAGTTTTGTATCTCAAGTTGTGCGCATAGGAAGTTTCATATAGAAATTTTCTAAAAGCTGTCAAAAACAAAAAAAAAATAAAATTTTGATTTCTTGGAAACTGTTTTTGAGGTGAGAATTGGTTGGCATAAGTTACCTAGGATGTTATAATGCGTGTGTATGTTAAAATAAGATTGTGTAACTGTAGCTATACCTACTGAGCTTGTAGCTCATTAAAATTTGCTCTGTGCTGTAGGTAAAGGTAAAAACAAAGCATAACAGTAAACAGGGGAGCAGGCTTCGTTGACCGCTGTACATATGGTTAGACCGAAGAAGCTGCACACGTAATATTTTGAGTTTGTAAATACATATATTTTTTTTGGAGTTAAACTCATAAATCTTAGATGATGTATAATTATAATCATGGCTAAGGAACCTGATAGGAATGGTGTAGTAACGAGATTTTGTTTAAGCATAAATTTTGAAACATAATAGTTTTCACATAAGTGACAAGTGAAGGTTAGTTATTGTGACACGCCCTTTGGATTAATAGTAAGGAAGGCTTGGAAGGAGATGGTATAAAAGGGATGTCACAGCATCCTACTCGAGTTAAGTGCTGTCACGGCCGGAGAAGAGGCAGTCCCGGAATTGCTTCCTCCACCAGAGTTGGTCGACGTCTTGACCCATTACGAGGAGGTGTACTCCTCACCGACCGGCCTGCCACCCCATCGAGCGGCGGACCATCGCATTGTGCTGAAGGAGGGGGCCATACCACCGAGCACCCGCCCCTACCGTTATCCCCATGTCCAGAAAGGGAAAATCGAGCGCCTGGTTGCGGAGATGCTCTCGTTTGGCATAATCCGGCCGAGCAGCAGCCCGTATTCTAGTCCAGTTTTGTTGGTTAAGAAGCGGGACGGAAGTTGGAGGTTTTGTGTTGACTACCGCGCTTTGAACCAACTCACAGTGCCCGACAAATTCCCCATTCCGATCATTGACGAGCTTTTGGATGAATTGCATGGAGCGGCGGTGTTTACAAAGCTCGACTTGAAGGCGGGATACCATCAAATCCGAGTCTACGACGGCAAAGTGGAGAAAACAGCCTTCCGTACACACGATGGGCATTACGAGTTTCTCGTCATGCCCTTCGGTTTGACAAACGCCCCGGCCACGTTTCAATCCTTGATAAACACGGTGTTCCGCCCATACTTGCGTAAGTTCGTTCTCGATTTCTTTGATGATATATTGGTTTATAGTCGTTCTTGGGATGAACACAGGGCTCACCTTACTATCGTCTTGGACATTCTACAGAAGGAGCGGCTCTTCGCCAATCGAAAAAAGTGTCTTCGGGCATCCACAATTAGAGTACCTCGGGCATGTCATTTCCAAGGAAGGCGTATCGGCTGACCCAACGAAGTTGCTCGCTATGCGCACTTGGCCGGAGCCCAAGAATGTCCGAGCAATTCGAGGATTTCTTGGCCTAACCGGTTACTATCGCCGGTTTGTACAGGGGTATGGAGACCTCGCTAGGCCACTTACAGACCTATTAAAAAAGGGCGCTTTCACGTGGACGGAGGCAGCCTCTCGCGCCTTTGAGGAGTTGAAAGTGGCCATGACCACTCTGTCGGTCTTGGCCATGCCAGATTTCACAAACACCTTCGTGGTGGAGACGAACGCGTCGGGGACCGGTCTTGGAGCTGTCCTATTGCAGGAAGGCCGCCCCATAGCATATTTTAGCAAAGGTGTTGTCGCCTACCTCGCGGTTTAAGTCCGTATATGAACGAGAGCTCATGGCCGTTGTCCTCACAGTCCAAAAGTGGCGCCATTATCTTCTTGGCCGCCACTTTGCGGTCCGCACGGACCAACAGAGTTTGCGTTTCTTACTAGATCAGCGCCTCCTTCCTCCCGAGCATCTCCGCCGGATCTCAAAATTGATGGGATACGACTTTGAAGTCCAATATAAACCAGGCGCTGCCAACCGGGTTGTGGACGCTCTATCACGCCGTGACAAGGCCTTTACACCGAAATTGATGGCCTTCTCCATGCCCGGGCTTGTTGACCTGGAGAAAGTTCGGCTTGAACAGCTCGAGGACACTACCTGTGCCCGCCTGGTTTCGCAATTACAGCTACACCAGGAAGTATCACCCGGGTACAGCCTACAGAACAGTCTCCTCTGTTTCCGTGGCCGAATCTTTTTGCCACGACACTCCACGTGGATTCCGCTGTTGTTACAGGAATTCCACGATTCGGTCATTGGTGGTCACTCGGGGTTTTTCCGCACTTATAAGCGAGTGGCTGCGAACGTTTTTTGGCCAGGTATGAAGAAGGCAATCCATGACTATGTTACTCATTGTGAGACGTGCCAAAAATCCAAATATGAAGCTCTCTCCCCGGCCGGTCTGCTGCAGCCCCTACCCATCCCGGATAAGGTTTTGGATGACATTTCGATGGACTTTATTTCAGGGTTGCCGCGGGTTAAGAGTATTGACACAATTCTAGTAGTGGTGGATCGCCTCTTTAAGTATGCTCACTTCTGCCCGATTGCTCATCCCATCATAGCCAAGCATGTGGCCGAGATCTTCATCCGGGAAATCGTGCGCTTACACGGCGTACCTCGCTCCATCGTGAGTGATTGCGACCCAGTCTTTATGAGCTTATTTTGGCGGGAACTCTTCAAACTGCAGGGCACTCGGCTGCACAACAGTTCCTCGTATCACCCAGAATCCGACGGTCAGACCGAGGTCATTAACCGCTGCCTGGAAACTTACCTTCGCTGCTTTGCTTATGACAAACCGAAATGGTGGGTGCAATTCCTACCTTGGGCGGTATTCTGGTTTAACACGACCTATAACGCATTGACTGCGCAACGCCGTTTCAAGTCGTGTATGGACGAAACCCGCCCACCTTGCTCCGCTTTCACGATGTGCCGTTGGTTTCGCCTACCGCTCCTTCTGTTGTGGAAGATGTTAACGTTCAACTGTAGCTCCGCAACCAGATGTTGGACTCTCTTAAGGAACACTTACTCTTGGCTCAAAAATCGTATGAAATAGTCGGCGGATGCTCGTTGTTGCGAGGTGTTCTTTGCCCCAGGTGATCTTGTGTTACTCAAGCTCCGACCATACCGCTTGAAGTCTCTCGCTCGGAAGATGAATGAGAAACTCTCCCCTCGCTTTTATGGGCCCTTCGGTTTTGGAGCGCACTGGTCAAGTTGCTTATCGCCTCCAACTTCCAGCCATTGCTGGTATCCACCCCGTTTTTCATGTTTCCCAGTTGAAAAGGTTCCGCGGGCGCGAGTATAAAAGTCAACCTCTTCCTCCCCAGCTTTCCGAGGACTTGGAGCTGTCAGTGGAACCTGCAACCGTGTTACAAGCTCGTACCACTCTCCTTGGCGGATGGGATCGAGTGGAGATCCTTGTGTCTTGGCAGGGTTTGCCCAAATGGGAAGCTACATGGGAACCTCTGGAGGATATCCGTCAACAATTTCCCCACCTCAACCTTGGGGACACAGTTGCTCTCGAGGGGGGGGGGGGTATTGATAGGATCCCGCCTAGACCTCCTATCAAGTTTACCTATTCTAGAAGGGGTAAAAAGGGCATAGCAGGTGTGGAGATCAAGACAAGGGAGGGCAGCGCTGAGGTGGCAAATTCTGTTAGGGAAATCGGTTAGAGTAGCTAGCTAGGAGGAGAATATGGGGGAGGGGGAAGGAAAGAGGGGGTGTGGAATTTGTCAGAACACAGGGTCGTATTGGGGAGGGAGAGGGTCCTCGAAATCCCTCATTCTTGTTTGACGAAGTTGTTTCAGGTTCCTTGCATTATTCCTTGCATGAAATCCCTCATTCTTTTTCTGGTTAATTCAGTCCATTATTCCTTTGCATTAAGTTCCTATTAGACGAAGTTGTTTCAGGTTCCTATCATATACACATTCTACATATTCATCTTGACCTTGATGCTCAGAACGAATCAAGAAAACTTCCAGAACTCATCAAACTAAAAAAATGGAGAAATTTCCTAAGCTCAAAATATAAAGCATTTCTAATCAACGTGTGTTCATGACGAAAGAGATTTCTTACTTGAAAGGTAAAGAAATTAGAATACTCAACTGTATCGGGATCGCTAATCAATTGATTCCACTCCCTTGGGCTCACATATTTCCCAACCTTTTCAGTAGGTGATATAGAAGGCATTCCAAGAGTAACAATCTGCTCCATTACAAATAAAGAGAAAATAGCAACCAACTCAGGAAATGGAAAACACAAAGAAACTAAACAACCAACCAAGCAAACAAGCAAAGCACAACAAATACGCCCTATAGGTCATGAAAAATCCTTGCATTGTTTGCTAAAAACTACCTCTTTCTTCAACTTCACCCTCACATGATCCCACCGGAAAGGCGCATCTTCCCCGGCAGCAAGAGGAGAACTGCTAGAGTGTCCATGATGCATAGCTTCTTCCTCAGGACTCACAGGGGATTCCACTCGTCTCAGCCCTTTTAAGCGGTCATCGCTTTGAATGAACCCGAGAACTCTCTCCACCGATTCACGGGTCCCGCATATGCTGCCATTGATCCCTTCTGGTGCAAGAATGATACCGCCTGAAACACGCTGAACAGGATCAGCTCAGTAAGGTGCAAACCAGAAGATAGACGACATATCAAATATCAAGAACAGGAAGCAAAAAAGGCAAAAAACAAAATGCTGAGAGACAAACACCACAAAACATAATAAAGGTTCTGAAAAAAGCCTATTTACTAAAGAATTTTAATCGATAACAGAATCTCGTGAATTTCTTCTCTTACTAAACCAATCATTCCAAAGAAGTCTACATTTAGGATTTGAAAGCTCAAAATTTTCTCTATTCACAAGCATAAAAGCAAAGTCATTTCATTTAACACTGATTCCCTCTACAGCGAGCTACAAAAGATATTCAATTGATCAGAAATCAACAAAATTATAACAGAAAGAAGAGAAAAATAAATACCAAATCCTCGCAGAGCTTTTTCAATGGCTGACGCAGACGGTCATGGTCGGGAAAATCGGCGAACTTGTAGAAGGAGACCACCACAAGAGCTTTCGAAGCGGAACCATCGAAGTCAAGCTCCGCCGAGCTTCGCGTTTCGGGCGTGCTCGAAACGGGAATGGAGTTGGTAGCACCGGGGAAGCATCTAGAAGAAAGCGTCATGAGGTTCTGAGAGTCGGCGACTGCAATTTTGCGTGCGTCGGCGAACGGGGGACGACGAGACGGTTTGGGAATCCGAGAGTATGCTCTAACGGCGGAGCTTGATCTAGGTCTAGGGTTTGGGGAAAACAACGGCGGCAGAGACGGCGGCGAGGATGACGATGATGATGATAACATCCTCACGGGAAGCAATGGAGGTCCTCTACACCTGAGCATATGAGAGGCAGCGTTCGCATACGGCACTCCCTATGGATGGAAGCAGGACCCTCGCAGTGCGATTATTTCTAGGGTTTTTAACACATTTGCTTAATAAATTATTCTTTTAAATTTTTAATTTTAACAATTTACCTCTTAAGGCGCAGATGTTGAGTTTTAAAAGGGTATTTTTGGTTTTACAACTCGTGCTTTCTCTCTCGTCAAATCAACTCCACAACGAAAAATAATAAAGTAGACTTAAGAGACGTTTAGTTCATAGATTAAAATAATGTGATTATAATTATTTTTTATTTACGTGTATTTTTTGTGAGAAAAAACATTGTAACGAACCATAAATTATGATTCAAATTATGGTTTGAATCTTCCAAACAAACATCTCATTAGCCCGTTTGGTTGGAGGATTCGTTCTCTGATTCGAATCATGATTCGTTACAGTATTTTTTGGCGCCAGTTTGTACATTATTTGCATCAACATGTCGTCGCAAATATTGATTGTTACAGCTGGTGGTGATGTGGCCAAAAAGAGACGAGAAATTTGGCGGTTTCCCGTGAATATGTTCAAGATATTTCTTTATTTTTTGCGACAACATATTGAAAAGTCGATGCAAAAAATGGTTCCAAAAAATTCTTTTAAGGATGACTGTTTTTGCGACGACACGTGTCGTCACAAAAAAATTCCAGAAAATTCTATCAAGGACGACTGTTTTTTACAACGATAGTCTCGTCGCAAATAACTGGGGATTTAATTGTCTCCAAAAAAAGGGTGGAAACTTTGGTGGTTTCCTTAAAATTATTTGCGACGACATTCTTAAATTGTCGTCGCAAAAAATGAGCCCGGGTATATTCCTCAAGAATATTCTTATAAATATTAATGAGGTGAAGAAGAACGACGTCGTTTTAACATAATGTCGTCTCAAAAGGCCACCTGCATAAACACGATCGCAGAACTCCTTTTGCCATTTTTTCCTAAATATTTCTGATAAATACCCCACTCCCCCAACCATTTTCCTCACCTAAAAACTCTCGTCCTCTCTCAAATCTCTCTTAATCTCTCTCAAATCTCTCTTAATTTCGCTTAAATCTCTCTCGATCTCTCTTAATCTCTCTCAAAGCGCTCTCAATCTCTCTTATTTTTCATAATGGATTCTTCTGGTTATGGTGGTGATATTTCCATTGATGCCCAATTCAACATCGAAGAAGGGTAATTTCCTATTAATGTTTTTCAAACGCAGGAATCACAAGCTGCAGAAAGAGCCGCTGAGGAAACTGTAAATTCGAGCCCTGGTGGACGTACTAGAGGTCGTGGACGTAATGGTGGTGGGTGTGGAGGAGAGGCAAACGGAAGGGCTAGTGCAAGTGTTGCAAGTTCTAAGAAGAAATGCAAGCACACCTCAACAGTTTAGGAGCACTTCAACACATTTAAGGAGGTCGACAATAGCGGTAACATTAAATACATAGCTCAATGTAAATATCATGGTGATAAATTACAAGGTAACACTATTCACGACACTACAAACTTGAGAAGACACTCTGAAAAGTGTCTTCAAAAGTAAAGAGGCGGACCCGATCTCCGCTAAATACAATTATCGTTTGACTGCCAAACCGGCGGTCTAAACACTTAGAAATATGATCCGCAAGTCGATCGTATGGAAATGGCACGATTAGTAGCCACATTAGATCAACTACTTAGTTTTACCGAACAAAGAAATTAGCAGTGTTATATTAAAATTATACATAATCCTAATGCACAATTTTTTTAATAACTACTCTTAGGAATGATGCATTAAAATTATATAAACAATAAAGGGAAGCATTAATCAACCTTTTACACTCTACTAGTGGTTGCGTTGCGTTAACGGCGGATATTTGGTCTACCGTTGCCAACAAAGATTATTTAGTTGTACCCAAACATTATTTTAAAGGTTTTGATTTAGATAAGAGAATATTAGGTTTTAAATGTGTTATAAGATCACATACCACCAATTTAATATATAATACAATTTTATCTGTCATTGATGAATATAGTTTAAAGGATAGAGTAATGGCTATAACATTAGATAATGCTACTGCAAATACTAAAGAAATATAACTTTTAAAAAATGATTTAAGTGTATTCGGTAATAATGATATATTTCACCAACGTTGTGCATGCCATATAATTAATTTAATAGTTAAATCCGGTTTAAAGTCAATGTCAGGTCATATTAAAAGAATTATAGATAACATTGCATGGATTCAAAGTAGTAATCAAAGAATACAAGATTGGTTTAGGTTTCTACAAGCATGTAATCAAAATGCTAGAGCATTAGCCTTAGATATGCCCGTAAGATGAAACTCCACTTATATAATGCTTGAATAATGCATCCCCTATAAAGATGCTATAACAAACTATGTTAGTGCAAAATTAGGTAGATTTCACGAAGTTACTTTAAAGCTTAGTGGAACATATTACCCAACGTCACCATTAGCGTTAGGAGAACTTTTAAGAATGACTATTTTATTTAGTGAATTTAGGACACACGAGGTTTTAGGAGTTCCTATCGCTTCTATGGAAAATAAGTTTAAAAAATATTAGTATAAATTACCAATGTCGTATAGTTTCGGTGTTATTTTTTATCCTAGATTAAAATTAGATGGTTTAGAAAGTGGATTAGAAAACTTATGTGACTTTTTAGATATCGACTGTTCTGACCAATTTCCTATTATAAAGGAAAAAATATTATATCTCTATAGCTCTTATGAAAGTAGGTTTAGAAACACACCTTGTGTAGAATAACTGCAACAACGAGACAACAATCTGCATTCATTCTTGAATGTTTTCAGGTTGAAGAAGAAGAAGAAGAAGAAGAAGACGACGACGACGACAACTCAAGGTCAACAAGAATCTGGGAGTGGATATTCATCAAGAGGTGGCAGCAACAGCAGTAGAAGAAGAAGAAGAAGAAGAAGACGACGACGACGACGACTCAAGGTCAACAAGAATCTGGGAGTGGATATTCATCAAGAGGTGGCAGCAACAGCAGCGACTTCAACGAATTAATGGCGTACCTGAATGAGGGCTTAGTTGTCAACAATAGTGAAATGTTTGATTTGGTTCAGTGGTGGAGGGCACGAGTCCTAACTCGACTGACAATGGATATTTTTTCGATCTTAGTCTCCATTGTTTCATCTGAACAAGCCTTCAGTACGACCGGCCAAATACTTGAATAACGTAGAAACGCATTGCAACAGGATATTGTTGAAGCTTTGGTGTGCATTAAGGATTGTGATTGTTCCGACCAACGCTTACATGATACAATTTCACCGGCACGCCAAGAATGGATCGATGAATTTAATAGATTAACTTTTAATTTTCAAGACGATCATTCAGCTTCAAATTAAATTCTATTATTGTAATTTATAAATATTTATTTACTTTGTATAGTGTTATTGTAATCTTCTATAGACTTTGTAAGTTCGTCAAATTTGTAATTCATCCCATAATGATTGCACTCTTTTTTTCTTAGCAAGTTTTTATCCCAATTGGGTTTTTCTTGGTAATGTTTTTAACGAGGCGATCATGAATTACAAATTTAAAAATTAATAAATAAATAATTTTTTTATATAGTTCGTGTTCATTTCAAATTTTAAATTACAATCTCCCTTATAAGTTTTGTATAATTTTTACAATAAATAACTTAAAAATCATTTATATACATACCATATACAATTAATAAACAAAATTATATATAATAATATATAAATATTTAAAAAATATTTAAAAAAATTCAGGCAACTCGGGCGGGCTCAGGCTGCCCGACCGGGCTCGGGCAGCCAAAAGCTGTCCGAAGCCTGTCCATGATGTTCCTCGGGTTGGGTTGGGTAGCCAGAAAATTTGGGCTCGGACAAGCTCGGTCGTCAGGTAAAAATTCAGAATTTTTGGTGGTCGTAGACGACCCGTCCAAAGTTTCAGCACTAGTGTTAATGTCTCTAATTATGCATCTATATTTTGGAAGGAAAATCAGCTTGGGAAAAAGCCATTCTATATGCAAACGGTTTTTTTTATATAATAATTTTTTTGAAAGGTTTTTTTTATATATAATAATAATAATACAGTGAGGCTATGTAAAAGTTCAAACTTGGAAGATTGATAATATTATAACATGGCAGTATTTATTAGAAAATGAAAAGTCAAATTTCTGGGGTCCACTAATTGCCATTAATAACTATCTCGACTATTATGGAAAAAAAAAAAAAAAAAAACAATATATCTAGCAAATAATAAAGGACATTTTCTTTGCAATTTTTGAAAAACATTGAAGATTAGAAAAAGAAAAAAGGTGGCCAAAGCTAGGACCGAACGAGATAATAGCCAACTGGTTTTTTTGTTAGATTAGAAATATTTTTTACCCGAATTTGAAAATAATTTTCCCTTTCTATTTCTATTTTATTGCTTCTGCACTAACTAAATCTTTGAGAATTTATTTTCTTAATTTCTTGAACTATCAAGTGTTGATGAGTGGGGAGACAATAAGGTTCAGCAAAATTTTCCTTTTCCTTTTCTTGCACTGTTCTTTTTTTTTTTGGTGGGAGAGATTAAGAACAATTTATTTTTGGGGACAAACATAGGAACTAACATTATGATTTTAATCAATATTGCAAAGTCCGGGAATGAAATTTAAATTTTAAAAATGATTGGTGTGTCCCATAAGTGTGGATATATGCTCTTTTTTTTTGGGGGGGGCAGGGAATGCTTCAATCATTTATCAATTCAAAAATAAAACAATGTTTCACGCTCATTTCATTTCACCGATTCGAGTTTAGAATTTGAGTTTTGCTACAGTAAAAAGTTCTAAAAAACAGTTACATCTAACTTTTTTATTACAGTAAAAAACTCCCACATAAAGTCACATCTAAACTTAAATTAAAAATTCAAATCAGTGAACTAAACAAACCCTAAATAACTTTTAAAACCCTAACCATAAACCCATGCTTATATATTAAATATACATGCCACAGATTATACAGAATAACAGAAATAATTTAAAGAACAACGTGACCAACTTGGCATTTCTCTGCGGCCTAGGTTACAAGTTACAAGTGTCAAGTGAACAACAAGGCCAACTTGATCTTTTGATAAGGAACTGCATAGTTCAAGTATTACAACAAAAATACATACATATACATATGTATTATATATTTCTAACAGTATATATTAATACATATTTTTTAATTTTCAAAACAAATTAATACATATTTTTCTAAAGGGTACATTGTTACATAGATAAGACATAGAAAACAATGAAACGAGGAATCCGGCACAGAAGCAAATATTTTTATAGACGATGTGGCCCAATGACAGCTCTATTTGGAACTTTATTGGCCTTAATTTATTTATTTATTACTGATTGGCCAGTGGCCTGTTGTTTATGTGGCTATATAAAGGTCAAAACTGATTGTCCAATCATTTTTTTTTTTTGTTTTGTTGTTTTAAAAAACTCTACTCAGAAGTTTTTTTATTGTGGTTTTTAGGAATCGGCAGCTTTTTATTATTACATGAAAAACCAAAAGAGTACGAGAGGATTGGGTTCAATGTATATGGAATTGCTTTGCATTTATGGTTTCTGCTTTTGGTTGTTATTGGAGACTTTCACCGTTTACGTTTTCTAATTAAATCATACACATTACAATCTGTGTTTTGTTATTGTCTTTGTTGAGTGACTCAGACGATAATGTCGAATTTTATATAAATAACTTTTAAAACCCTAACCATAAACCCATGCTTATATATTAAATATGCATGCCACAGATTATACAGAATAACAGAAATAATTTAAAGAACAACGTGACCAACTTGGCATTTCTCGGCGGCCTAGGTTACAAGTTACAAGTGTCAAGTGAACAACAAGGCCAACTTGATCTTTTGATAAGGAACTGCATAGTTCAAGTATTACAACAAAAATACATACATATACATATGTATTATATATTTCTAACAGTATATATTAATACATATTTTTTAATTTTCAAAACAAATTAATACATATTTTTCTAAAGGGTACATTGTTACATAGATAAGACATAGAAAACAATGAAACGAGGAATCCGGCTCAGAAGCAAATATTTTTATAGACGATGTGGCCCAATGACAGCTCTATTTGGAACTTTATTGGCCTTAATTTATTTATTTATTACTGATTGGCCAGTGGCCTGTTGTTTATGTGGCTATATAAAGGTCAAAACTGATTGTCCAATCTTTTTTTTTTTTTTTTTGTTGTTTTTAAAAAATCTACCTCAGAAGTTTTTTTATTGTGGTTTTTAGGAATCGGCAGCTTTTTATTATTACATGAAAAACCAAAAGAGTACGAGAGGATTGGGTTCAATGTATATGGAATTGCTTTGCATTTATGGTTTCTGCTTTTGGTTGTTATTGGAGACTTTCACCGTTTACGTTTTCTAATTAAATCATACACATTACAATCTGTGTTTTGTTGTTGTCTTTGTTGAGTGACTCAGACGATAATGTCGAATTTTATATGGTTGTTGTTATTGTTATTGTTCTTCTTCTTTCTTTCTTTCTTTTTTTTCCCTTTCGTTTTTGCTTGGTAATTTTTCAATCATGACATCAATATAAACAAAAGTGGAAACACAATTAGGAGACGTTTGATAAGGGGATTCATACCTTGATTCGAATCATGATTTATGGTTCGCTATAATATTTTCTCTTATAAAAAATACACGTAAATCGAAAATAATTCTAATCTATGAACCAAACATCTCCTGAGGTTCAAGATGCTCTTTGGAAAGTGTATAAACAACAAGCAGATAAGTATGAGCGAAAATTGATCAGACGGTGGATTTTTGTTTTCTTGCAGCAAAAAAAAAAAAAAAAAAGGGTTTGAGAATGAGAATAAGATTGTTCTCTGTCTGACTACTCAATTATGAGTTTGAACTCGGAGAAGGATAAGTGGTGTCAAGACCTTAACCTTTATTCTTGTTATTTGTAGAAAAGGACAATTAGTGGATATGCATTAGGCATATTTTCAAACAAACAGTATTTGGACTTCACGTGATTAAAATTCCCGTCATTTTTAGTGTCGCAAATAATATTTAATTAATTTTATTACATTGTTGTCATTTAATTAACATAAATGTTAAAATACCAAAAAATTAGTTAAATTAAATTTTATATTTTTTAATTAAGTGATATAATACGATTATTTAGAGACCATTTACGACAATAAAATTGCAGTGATCAAAATTGAAGAGAGAATCTAAAGTAGAACATCACCCACCAAGAAATTATTACAATACACATTATCAAACTAAAACAAAGTAATAATAAAGTATACTTTGCCAGAAGGGTTAGAGAGATCAAAAGCATAAAAAACAAAACCACAACACACGTAAGGCTTGCATCAGCATGAAACGTCACCCAAACTTGTGAGCAATTAAGTGGAATTTTCCTTTTTCTACCTTTTGAAAAATCTCGCCCCTCCTTCCTTTCATCTTCCATTGAGTTGCTCCTCCCTTTCCTCAAATCATGACCAAAGCTAGCCAAACCTCCTAGAAACCCTATCCTTTTTCATCATCATCTCTCTCTCTCATCCCATTATTCCACACCTATATTTAAGAAACCCCAACACCCAATCCCTTTTCACAAACCTTAAAAAAAAAAAAAAAAAAAAAAAATAGTAGTAGTAGAAAGAAGTAGTTTTAGCATATTACTACTACAAAATAATAACCATTTTTTTTAAGAAATGAGTGCTAGTAATTGTAGTATGCTTGATGAGAATCTGTCGAAAAAGCTGATCGAAGAGCTCGTTCAAGGGCGGGATTTGGCGACCCCACTCTTTCTGTGCTTTTGAGCAGTAGTTCTTATAATAATCCACACAACAAAAACGACAATCCTGATGATATTAATATTGTTGGTGGCGAAATCAACGGCCCTGAGGCTTCCGTTTTGGATCACTCGCAATGCGGTGACCGGAGCTCCGAAGATTCCGGCGAGATTAGTACTAAGAAGAGACCGGCTTTGAAAGATCGGAGAGGCTGTTACAAAAGAAGGTAATTTATCATTATTTTTTCATCAATATTATTTCTTGTGTATATATATATATATATATATATGTTTTTTCTGATCCATATATAAGCGATGTCTTTTGATGAGATATTTTTTCCTTCTGTCAATTATTGCAACACTTTAGTTTTGTCATTTAGAATGGTGAGATGATGATGATCAGTTGATCATTGATGTTTTATTGTTTTGTCATTTCATGAGGAGAAAAAGAAAAATAATATATATCAAACACCCCCCACCCACTTTTGAGTGTGAATTAAAAGCACGTGGAGAAATGATTATCTGTATGTTTGGTGATACTTTTTTTCTTTTCCTCATTTCTCTTGTATTAATTTGCACAGAAACTGATGGAACATAGTCTGATTTTTCTTTGATTTGATTTGCAGAAAGAGTTCCCAATCATGGACTAAAATCACAGCCAACCTAGAAGATGGTCAGGCTTGGAGAAAGTACGGCCAAAAGGACATCCTCAACGCTCAATACCCAAGGTTAATTATTTACCTTAAATTATTATTATTACTTTTTTTCACTAATTAACTATCGGTGCTGCTGAAAAAGCTTCAACGTGACATTAGAAAAAAGAAAGGATAAGGAAATAATCTTTTGCATATTCAGTATAGCAATTGCAAAATGGAAAGAACACAACACTGACACGTGTAAAGTTAAAAAGAAACGGAGGCCCCATATTCCAAAAGTGAAGGATATTGTAAAACGTACTAGAATTATTAAAAATTTGTTCAAGAATATTCATATATTGGGAGAAACCAAAACTTGTGGTAGATAATTATAGATATTATTATTGCTTTTTGTAACAAAATGTTAATTCAGTTTTCACTGTGATTGGCAACAGGGCTTACTTTAGATGCACCCGCAAGTACGACCAAGGATGCCGAGCAACCAAACAAGTCCAACAAATCCAAGACAATCCAAAACTGTACAAAATAACCTATATCGGCCAACACACGTGCAGAAACCTTCAAAAAGCACCACAAATGATCATTTCTGATTTCCATGAATATCCTTGGGATATTTCCAATAGTAATTACAAGGCAACTATTGCTTCTGATCACATTGATCACAGCCCAAGGAGCACCACAACTAGTAGTACTATTTTCCCAAACAATTTCTCAAAATCCGCTACAGCCAAACTCATGGAGCAAGATGATCATCAAGATCACGATCATGATCAAGTCAAGGAAGAAACACCAAATGATGATCATGATGACAACGCTTCATTGGACACTCATGATCATAACAGCCTGTGGCCTAACGAGTTTAAGGATCTCGAGCTATCCGTTGGTTTGCTGTCTCCGAAGAATATGAGGACGTCCGACAACGATCGGGACGTCGTCTCCGTCGTGTTCTCGTTTGAGGATCGGAAGGGAGCTGCGACTTCTGATAATGATTTGGACATGGACGACTTTGTGGTGAAGTGTATAGATTTTCGTGACTTTGATGAAACCGAGTTTCCTATATAAAATATCAGTGTGAAGATTGAAGTGCTAGACGTACTTTGTGTAATTTTTGACATCTTATGAATCATGTAAACTTTCCAACTTGTGATATAATGAGAATAACAGATGTTTATATATCTAAACAGTTTCCAATAATTAGTACCTTCTAAAGTTTTAAAGGTGTCAATGGTGCTATCATGATTCCCTTTTAGTGCTAAAACATGTATTTGTTCGTATTGTACTTATATAGGAACTTTCAATGATAGGCAAAGGCACAAAACCTATCAGTTAAATTCTTTAATTTTAACAACTTAATTACCTTTAAATTTAATAAAGTATTATAGAGTGCTTTTAAATGAACGATGAATGCTAAAATTTTAGACGAAAACGCTTCATAAACATAACGCATGAGCTTTTTTAAGAAAGATACTAAAATTTCGAAATGACCACATGAACTAGTAATGTCACGTTCTAAATTTCAACATCATTCACCGATTTGTTAATGCTCTGAAATATTTTATTAAATTCAAGAAGTAATTAGTGCGATTAAAAGTTAAGAAAACAACTTGATTATTCATTTAAAGTCGATTCTTCTGTTGCAATATATAGGGAGAGAAAAGTGTCATAAGAACCAAAAGTGCATAAGAATTAAACATAAATATAAAAATAGTCTACGCTATCTGCACATACTTTTTCGTTTAATGTAAAAACGCATCCAACGTACTTGGCGCATGCGTTGATGAAAAAAATTATCAGTATTATTCATGATTATTGAAGTCGCACTACATGTGATATTTGCAGTTTTACATCTAATATTGTCCACAGGGACCACTGCAAGTTGCGTCCATTTTCCACAGCTAGCTTGATTAACAAAAGCTATCAAGTTTGAGCATTTTATGTGAGAGAAAACACTATAATAAAAAAGTAAATTTAAATTTTTGTGAGAAAAAATATTGTAGTAAATGAGTTTGAGTTAGTGATTTTCATTTGAGTTAGTGATTTAAATTGTGAAAAGAACATGAGATTTGTTTTGTGATGTAGATATAACAATCGAAGATATAGCCAACTCAGGCTATGGTTAATCTTGATCTTCATAAATAGGCCGTTTGCATGTAAAACACATGCTGTTTAAGAACTTGGCCACAAATTTCATCACACACACACACAAACAGCTATTATGTGTCTAAATTAAGCTAACCATTAAGAAAAAGGGTCAAATACTCAAATCAATGAATAAAAGCTATTATGTGTTGCATCCTCCTGTAAATTTTTAACCTAAATACTCATATAATCAAATTGTTAAAAGATTAATCTAACAATTTAAACATCATTTTCTATCTTTACCATTGAAATTCTCTGAGGAAATAATTATAACTTGGATGCGGCCAGCTAGCTGAGCCATTAGTGGGACAGTTGTACATGTTGTGTCGTCAAAAAGTGAAATCCCAAGGACAAATACACAGCGAAATCTGAGGGACAAATGACAAGACGGCTAACGTCTCAAAAGTAATACATGTGAATTAGATTCTTATGAACAACAAAAACTAACCGCCAAGTAGGCGCAATCAATGCTCTTGGCAGATATTTCAATGTTACCTGATATAGTTAAACTAAATAATAGAAATAAATTCTTATCACGTTATGTTATTATCTTTTTATATTTAATAATAATTACGGATGAAAATATAATCATTAAAAACTCATTTATATATATTACTTATTCTAGTCATAAGAAAATAAAAGCCTAACACATCTTCTATATATATATATTACACACTTTTGTGATGAGTATACTATCAGAATCTAAAGTAATACTTGTCCAGTTTATTTCCATTTAGGAAAATAGTCAAGAACACAGCTGTATAGTTTCGGTATTAATTAACTATATAGCATCAACTGTCAACAAGTGTGGAGGCTTAACACTAACAGAGTATCGTGGTGGTCTCCTAGTTATAGATTTGAGTATTGAATTATCTTTTTTAAGGGTATTAAATGTAAAATCTTGTTTTTTATTAGTCTAATACTTAATTTAGAGTCTGAAATCACACCCCTACATGCTTGTCTTTACCACATTCGATAAAATTAGAGTGACACGTTCTCCGTTCGAGTGATAAAATCCACCTGTAGAACCTTCAACGAATTTCCTGTCAATATATGGGAACTCCAATGATAATGCTATTGGGGGATATGCTGACGCTACCTCATCCCTGGACTTCTTTTTTTTATTTTTTTATTTAAAAAAAAAAAACACACTATAGTGTCAACTTGCATGTCACATTACGAAAAATAGTACTTCTATATGCGGAAAAACTTCAAATTAATCGAGTCTCAAAATATAGATTATATAAGAGGGAGAACGAGCTTTCAAAATTTTTATACCTCAACATGATTGTATGTTTGCTTACATGTTTCATTTTTCGCTCTTCTTTAAATATATATATATATATATATTGTACGTTTAATTTTTTTTAAAAAAATTCAAATTTACATTTTAAAATAATTCTTTTCACATATTATTTTAATATTTTTCACACAATCATCTAAAATATTATTTTTCAAAATATGGTCTTGCGATTAATTACAGATAATTTCCATGCTTGGTTCTTTCTTTTCTTTTTCTTTTTAAGTGTGCATTGTAAAATTTTATTAAAATATTTTTTCTAAGTTATCTTTTGGAACAATTTTTCTTAAATGTGTCCTTACGAAATATTATTTTCATGCATTCCACTTAAATATATTTTTTCAAATATGATCCTAATAAATATTGCTTTAACTGATTGCCTCACTAATCTATAATCTGTAACTTATATAGAAATGAAAATGAGTTTTGTACTTCAACCCAAAGTTAAAGTAATCTAATGGTTAGAAATTACCAATTTTTTTCATTTTAGATGCAATGGTTTAGATTAATACATATGGTTTATGCCTTCTTTCACACCTAACATGTATTTTTACACCTCTAATTATACACAGTGAAATAAGTCAAGTTAATTGAAATTCTCTCTCTCTCTTTTCCCCTTAAATAACTTCAATTTCCATTTGTTCTTCAACAACTAATCAAATCCAACCGTTAATACTCTTTTTCTTTCTTTCTTTTTTTCAAGAACAAGCATAAATATTAATTCATGTGATAGAAGGAAAGAGGAGTCCTCAATCTTATTTTTCCTGGCTTTAAAATGTAGCAGAACTTTACTCATGTTTATGAAAAAATAATTCATAAAATTATCTACTGATTAAGATTTCACATTCATGTGTTATAACTATAAGAATATGAAGTTTTTTTTTATCATTTTTTGTTTATTTTTGAACTAACAACTATTTGACTAGTTATCAATATAACAAGGTTTAATTAAAAAACACTACCAATATAAGATAATTAATGGGAAAATTTCATTTTAGTACCCTCTGTTATATATCAAAATTTGAGTTTGGTACCCTCTGTTTTTGAAAATTCATGTTGGTACCTCGATCTTTAGAAAAAAAATTTTGGTACCTGATAGCCATTTTTTGTGGGACATGAAAAGACAAAATTGTCGTTATTGTAAAAATTTATCTGTCCAGAATTTTGAAAGAAAAAAAAGATTTTAAAAATTAATATACCTATAATCAAACACCCAAAAACCCTTTAAAAGAACATGCTTCTTTCTTCAAAATTCTAACATTTGCGTTTTGTTTTTCATTTGCGTTTTTTTTTTCTTTTTCTTTTTCATTTGCTTCCTTCTTCAATAAGAGCAATTTTATCTTTTCGTATCCCAAGAATGGCTCCAATGTATCAAAAAAAGATTTTCTAAAAGGTCGAGGTATCGGCATGAATTTTTCAAAAAAATATTTTCTAAAAGGTCGAGGTACTGGCATGAAATTTTTAAAAACAAAATGTACTAAACTCAAATTTCGATATAACAGAGAGTACCAAAATGAAAATTTTCCTAAATTAAAATATAAAGCAATCGGTACCATGTATCTCATTTCCTATAGCAGTTGAAAGACAAAAAATGTGTTGTCTAACTTTCAAAGAAAAGTTAATGATTTAACATCTAATAATTTATGGCTTTTTTCTAGTTATATTTAATCTAGATTAAGCGTTGGTGTATGTGATCACATTCTTCAATAGCTATTGAATTGCTACGTTGAGTAAACTCTTCTCACTTTAGTTTCTATCACTGTGAGTCTCTTAAAATATCAAATCGTTTTCACTTGTAATTAAGTTTTTCTTTTGCATTCAACAATATAAAACATTCTCCTCTCATTTAAAAGTTCCAAACCTAAAGCACGAAAGTCCAATACTAGTATTCTTAGAAACGTATATACTTATAATCCTTTTAACTAGCTACAAATTATAAGAACCAAATTAAAACCACTTTAAATCTGTACTACTACAACTAGATAGTGCAGTCCAATTTTGACCAGTTCCTGTTACAAACACCTGCACAATTGAACTCCAGTTACACCTATACTTATCCATATATTTTTTAACATTTATTGTCGTTTTTTTGGGGTTAATATAAAGAACAAGAAAACAAAAAAATCAGTACATCAGTTTATTCAATGAGATGATCAATTAATTTAACTGTAAAATACCTAACACAATCAATCTTAATCAGACATTTTTCTTGTTCCCTTATTGTCGTTATTCTTTTCTTCCACTGAAGGGAACAAAAAATCCATGCTGTTGCTAGTACTGCTGCTGCCAAAATTAAACATTACATCGGCCATGTCCACCACAGGGAACTGATCATGACTCACTTGATCTTTATTGTACCGCCCGGTACTGGCACCGGTACCCGACGTGCATGCACCGGAACTAGTACCGGTTCCGTGGCCAAGTGCCGTGCTGAATTCCACGGAAAGCCATCTTCCTAGAGGAACGGAAGAAGTGCTACTAGTAATATTGGACATTAGGGGTTCGGCAGAAGAAGTAGTAGTAACAGTACTACCAGCCACAGTATGTGTCATGTCTTGTGATATAATTATCGGCTGTGACGGTAACATGGACGGGGCCGTGGCCGACATGTGACACGTGTGATGACTGTGGTATATGACTTCGAAGGTGGACGGATCGTGATCTAGCCGCTGGACTTGTTTCTTGGCGGGGCAATCGTAGAGCTTCTGGTGGGTGCACCTATAGTAGCCCCTGGAAAATCACGGCCAAGATCAGGACAAAATTTAGGGCGTAATTTGTGTTTGTTAGAGGATTAGCAAGTGGACTTTTTCGAAGTTTCTCTCAAGTCAATGTGTTCAAATCTCTATTGAAAATTTTATGAGTCGAGCTTTGTGTTAGGGACATTTATTTCTCATTTGATCTTTTTGGCATTTCTAGTCAAGCATAATGTTGTTAAATTTGGTGATTTGGACTTGGTCAGGTCAAATGAGGGTCGCCTCTTGTCAGTTTGGTAAAGGCTAGTATGAAAAGATTATGATATTAATTATAAAAAAAATTATGAGTATTGAACGGATTATTTAATTAATGAGCTTCAAATTTTCTTTGGCTGGAATTAAACAGCAAATTCCTTGGACAATAACATGTGCACTAATTTGCGATCTTCATTGACTTGATCAATGTGGTTTTTAATGCATCAAAATAACCGTGTATATCTTCTATTTTGACGGTTATTGATTTCTTTTTCTCTTTTTTTTTTGGCTGGAAATTTCCTTGTGGAATAAGTGACAATTGACAAATGTCATCAACACAATCGTACCTAGGGTACTTTGAGCCCATAATTTCCTTCTGGCCATATTTGCGCCAAGTGTACCCATCATCCGGTGGGATTTCAGTGTTTCCAATTTGAGGCGCAGCCATATTCACTATGCGAGTCTCAGCATCATCTTTCCTGTTTATTACACACGTATATAAATATATATATATATATATCTCATTAGTAATAGAATAATTATTATAAGAGTATAATTATACTAAACAATATATATTTGAATCCAAGTATTAGTAAAGCATTGCCAAAGCTAGCTAGTGGACGGAAAGTTACATTAATTACACTGATTTATGGTATACTTTTTCTACGAAAGCTTGTAGTTATTGCTTTCTTGTTTCCATACATTTTCCAATACTTTATTATTGGAGGTTGACATCAACAGTCCTACCATGCTCCACAGCCATAGAACGACAAAAAAAAAACATATTAATAAGCTGACTACTACTTTAGTTTAGTTTTATCTCTAAAAATGTGGTATCTCATCACAAGATTATTTTCTATATACTTTGTTTGACAGAGCAGAGAAAAATATCCAGATATATGAAAAACTAAGGGTCCGTTCATTTCGCTGATTCAAGTTTGTAATTTGAATTGATATGTGATTTTATGTGAGAGCTTTTTACTGTAGTAAAAAGTTAGATGTGACTGTTTCTGAGAACTTTTTACTGTAGCAAAACTCAAATCGGTGAAGTGAACGGGACCTAAGGATTTGTTCTTTTGAGTGAAAAACTCAAAAAAATGCAACTCAAGTTACAACTTTACTCGAGTTCATGTTCTTTTAAGTTTAAACTCGAGTTCAAACTCGAGTTTAGGACTAAAACTCAAGTTCAGAAACTCGAACTCAAATTAATGAACATTATTTTTTCTATTCTTAAAAATGCTATAACTTTTTCATTTTAATTCTGATTGAGATGATTTTTTTTTCTATCCGTTGACAACGAAAAGACGAATAAAACCTGACCCATATACCCTATTAAAATTTTTCATTAGCATTGAGTTTTTATTAAAATATTATCTAAATACAAATTCAAGTTTTGACTCACTCAAACACAAACTCAAAAAGATTCTTATCTCAAACCATAACTCAAATGTATACAACCAAACACAAACTCAAGCTACAAGTTCAACTCAAGTTATAACTCAAATTCAACTCAAGAATTATACTCAAGTTAAACTCTAAAAGAACAAGCCCTAAAGAACACGCAAAAGATTATAGACCAGTAAAAAAAAAAAGAACAGAAACAAATTAATTAACTAGATACTAATAAACACCATCAATGTATCAAACAAAAGAGGCAGAACACCAACTAATAATCACGGTTTAATAAGAAGCACTAATCATCAATATGGTCTTTAAGCATTGTATAATATTACTTCAAATTCCATATGTATACCTACGTATAAAACAAAAGAAGTAGAATAACAACTAATAATCATGGTTAACTTCAAAATCCACACACACACATATATATACCTTCTTCGCGGTCTTTGTCCAATACTTGAGACCAGAAACGGAACAGTACTGCCCATCTTATTTCCGGACATGTCTTGATCATGAGCAGTCATGTCCATTGCTTGATCAGCGTAACAACTATTAGACCTCATCAGCCATTCATGTAAATTGGCATCATGGACATTCATCTGCATCTGATCATCGCCTGCATGATCTTGATGATGATCATTACGCAGCCTTCCCCTCGCTTCATCGAGGACCTTCACGATCTCGTCGCAGAAGCTCGCGAGGGCGCTTGGCTCGCTCGCCGGGTTCTCGACGTTCGACTCTAGCTCCTTAGCCAACTTACATCCTTGGAGGATCAAAGACAGTGCGGCGTTATAATCTTCCATGGTTTCAGGGTATTTTTGCTTGTTTAGGTTTGTTGTCTTGGGTTTGAACATGGTTGGCGAAGGGAAATTTTAAAAGGGTGTACGTGAATATATACTAGCTTAATTAAATTCTTTTTTTTTCTATGATATGTTGCTCTTTAATTTTTTTGTAGAAAGGCTAGAGAGAGAGAAAACTTTTCAAGGTGTATATAACTATAAGGTTCTACACGGTAAAATCATGGAAGAAGAGGGAAATTGAGGAAAGAGGACTTAGTCATAGTCCACTTGGGATTTCAATTGTCATAGTCCACATGGGATTTCAACGTTCCTCTATTTCTTTTTGGTCTAGAGGAAGACCTCCCCCGTAGAAATTAAACCATTTCATCATTTGGACCTTCATGAGAGTTTTCTGAGGTTTGAAGCTATGACCAAATATAATGAAAATCATTAATGTTTCTTCTACGTTCTGTTGAATATTTAGATTCTGCATTAACGAAATTCCTTTTTTTTTTTTTTTCTCGAGAATTTTATGGTATTAGGAGATGGTGCAAAACACTTTTATTCATAAATCAAAGCGTCGAAAAATTAATCGAACAACTACAAAAGTCTTCATTACTAGTACTAAAAAACGCCAATGTTATAGTAAAAAAGAAAATTCATTATTATTATTATTTTTATGTTGAGCTATATGGGGTGTGAACCCTAACCCTACGTAAAGAGAATATGAACTGTGATCATTCTGGAATCTGGCCATCCCTTATGTGACGTGAATTGGACTTAGCCAACCAAAACATGGTCAAGATTCTGGTGGTCCGATAGAAAGCATTTGGTCACTTTCATTTTTTTGTCACTTTTTAACATGTAAACTCCACTAACATTATATATTTTATTTAAACAGAAAATGAAATAGTGGAGTTCACGTGTCAAACAGTAAATATAAATAGTGAAAATATGAGTAACAGAAATAGTGATGCTAAAAGTTATAGACCAAAAATAAGGGCGGCAAAAAATTAATTTCTAGTTCCTGGCAATTCATGGCCCTCAAAAAAGACAAGGAAAGGTGCTCTGTTTTGGTAATTAGCGTTTAAATTAATTAATCAAAGAAGACTATATATGTACTATTACTGTTTTACATCGTTATTTCCTTTTTTTCTCTTAAAATGGTTATTTCCAAGATCGATAATTGGGTCATTTCAAGAAGTTAACAACCGCAACAGAATAATACCGCTTGAAAGTAGAAAGTCCTCGGTCTTTTATTCACTACTACACATGCACAGGTTTATGTTGATGACAATTGACAGTGCATAATTACACTTTCTGGAAAACTTGTGCCGTGTAATTACATAACAATGATACTTTGACCCTAAATAGTTGGTTCTAAATGTTTATGCGTTCTTTTGTTTTGTTTTGTTTTGTTTTTGTTTTTTTTTTTGGGATGGACTTGGTTCTAGACGTTGTGGACCACATTTCTTTTTCTTTTTTTTTTGTTGCTTTTTTTATAATAAAAAAAATAATAGAGAGCTAAATAGATAGACAGAACCACTATCAGATAATGTCTCTTAGAGGTTGTTTGGTTGGGAGATTTATTTACATGCACAGGTTTATGTTGATGACAATTGACAGTGCATAATTACACTTTCTGGAAAACTTGTGCCGTGTAATTACATAACAATGATACTTTGACCCTAAATAGTTGGTTCTAAATGTTTATGCGTTCTTTTGTTTTGTTTTGTTTTGTTTTTGTTTTTTTTTTTGGGATGGACTTGGTTCTAGACGTTGTGGACCACATTTCTTTTTCTTTTTTTTTTGTTGCTTTTTTTATAATAAAAAAAATAATAGAGAGCTAAATAGATAGACAGAACCACTATCAGATAATGTCTCTTAGAGGTTGTTTGGTTGGGAGATTTATTTCCTGATTCGAATCATAGTTCGTGGTTCGTTATAGTATTTTCTCTCACAAAAAATACACGTAAATCGAAAATAATTCTAATCACATAGTTCTAATCTATGAACCAAACGTCTCCTTAATTACTTTTAAGTCATCTTGAAAGTTAGAGCACTGATTTCCAAGGGAAAAAATAATAAAAAAAAGCTCACCCTATGTTTATGGAGAGGAAATAACACGTTTTTATGCGCAAAAGGGGAAAAAAGTTATAACGGAGATTGATGGACCTATGAAATGTTTACTAAACGGGAATAGGACTGAAAAATCCCGTATTTGAATGTGAAATAAGAGTGAGATCGTGGACTCCATACAAATTTGAAAATGAAAATTTAGATTCCTATATTTTCTTGGACTGGGACTCCACAATTCTTATCTCTGATTTACAGCTGTTCTAATTTTTTTTTTTTTTAACATGAAAATGACTTTAGAATTAAATAGCCAAATCGGTAAGTACAACCGAAAATACAAAGTAAGGGATCATATAAACCCCAATAAAATCCTGTGAACAATAAAAACCAAAGGAAGCTAAAATATGAGCAACATTATTACTACTCATGTTTATATGAAAGCACTTTCACCTTCTGATAGAGGATAATAACCGAACAATATCATCTATAATAACACATTTTTCGCCCATCGTCAAGCTTTCCTTATTAACTTCATTCTACTAAATATAACTTCATTCTACTAAATATACAATTTGTTTTTTAATTAAAAGAATATACGTATACACATATATGTGTACATTAATTTTTATACTTTATTTTCATTTTTTATTTCTTTTGTTCACTTTTTCAAACTTTGTTTACTTTTTCAAAACAATTACATGACGTACATTTGTGATTTTATTGGCCTAATATAATAATAATAATTACACATAAATAAACACACAGGAAAGACCTTTAATGTATCCTAAGTTAATATCTAAATAGAGAAGTGGGCCTTGAATTACGGACTGGTGAGCTTTCATCGGCACTGGGAAAAAGAGACAAATTTAAACTGTATATGTCTAAATTTTTACTTATTGTATTAATTAAATAACTGTATTAATTAAAATGCTATTAATAAAAATAAGAAGTAAAAATTAAGAGTCATATATTATTAAGAGTAACTTCAAATTCTCTCTTCTTCTCCTATAAAAAAAAAAAAAAAAAAAATTCTCTCTTCTTCTCTTCTAATAAGCACAAAGAATATTACTGAACTTACCCTTAAAGTATAACTTGAGAGCAAAATTACACTAGGTGGCAAGTTAATAAGAATGTAGTTGAAAATATAACATTTCTCTCTTTGAAATATTCTATAAATAGCAAAAATTTAATCAGTTTAATGGTATTCATTTTTATATTATAAAATGGCATAATAATTATTGTAATGATAATTCATTTTTATATTATAAAACAGCATAATAATTATTTTAATGATATTAATTTTTTCTACTGATATTTTAATTTTTTTGTTATATTTCAAAGAAATTTTGATAAATACTCTTTAAAAGTGCATGAGTCTTGATTTTTATCCCTTACTTTTAATTAATACCCTTCTTAGTTAAATAAGTATATTAAAAAAAGGGTACTAACCAACAGTAAAATGTAAAAATCTAGACCCATGTAATTTTAAGGGTAAGTTTAACAATTTTCTCTATATTATTTTAAGGGATAATGTAGTAAATAGCAAATTTATGAAACTAAATGAAGTAAATAGAATATTTTAAAACTATTTGAAATATAAAGCAGCTTACGTGGTAATTGAATCATTTACCGAGTAAATAGTTCATTTATGATTACTAAAAATATTTTTTTCGTGTAAATTTTCTTTTGATGGCCGGTAAAAAGATTGTTTTCCACGTAAATAAAGATGTTTTTACAGGTGAGTTATTTTTTATCAGTCGTAAATTAATCATTTACCCGGTAAGTGATTCATTTACTACATAAATTGCTATTTATCTCAAATAATTTTATGTTATTCACTTAATTTATTTTCAAAAATATTCTATTTACTACAATTTTTTATTTCTCCCTCTCAAGAAAAAATAGAGAATTTACCTTTAAGAGTACATGAGTCTAGATTTTTACTCTTTACTCTTGATAAATACCTTTTTATTAGTATAATTATTTGACTAAAAAAATTATAAATTAAAAATAAAAGATAAAAATCTTAACTTATACAATTTCAAAAGGTATTTATCAATTTCTATTCATCAAGATTACCCTTCTTTCAATGTAAAATAACCTCACCAGTCATTCTGTCAAAGCCCAATGTACTGGTTTCTCAAGATGGGCTTAGGTTGTTGGTCCAGTACTTCTCCCAACTTGGAACTTGAGCCGATGCAAGCTCATCAGTCCATAGTTCAAAGCCCAATCCCAATTTAGTCGGGCTTCATTAACGCACCATACAAAAAAAAGTGTCTACTTATATTCCGAATTTATCCTTTTGGTTTATTCTGTGCATGTTCTTTATTCCGGATTTACCCATTTGCCTCTGCTTTTCATTTTTTAAACAAACATCGTGGCTGGTTTTTATTTTGTTTGAGGGGAGGATTGTATTGTTTTTTTTTTCTTTTTTTTTTTTTTGTCTTGTCGTCTTGTTCTACAATTTTTGCTGTGCTTCAAGGTTTTTGCTGTGGTGAATTCAAAATGGTTTGATTAGCGTTTTTTTTTTCAATTTTTCCTATCTTATTTTTTTAATAATTTTTGTTGGATTTTATTGTTCATTATGTTAGTGTGATTGTTGTGTTTTTGTTTTTTCTTCTATTCCTTCTGGTTGATTATGTTATTCTAGTTAAAATAATGAATTTGTAAATTAATGGAATTGAAATTTATGTTATCCCTTCAAACCATGATAGTAGCTGCGTCAAAATAATAAAAATGTCCATTGTGCAGTACTTTTTTTGTTTAATATGAATTACAAGTTTTGTTCGAAATGATTATATTAGTAAGTTAATGAAAATGAGCATTTTTTTTACACACTTAATGAAATTGTCGAACTGGCAAATTTGTACTTCTAATGATTTTTGTTTTTGTTCATGATAAATTTATCATTACGGTAATGAATTACTTTTCATATTGTGTTTATTCTGTATATTAATTTTGATATTCATTCTTGTAAGTAATGTTAATTGACAGTTTCT